AAATTTTCATTTTTTCTGAAAAGGTGGTGTCTATTTACTTGTGACCACTCTGTGTAGTTCATAAAAGCTTTAGACACTGTAGTGTATTTTTAAGTGTGTATGATAAGATAGAAGAACAGGGATGTTTTTTGTCACGCTTTTGTTTTGTTTGTTTGTTTTAGTTCACAAATCGAAGTAATCATCTTAACATGAAAATGATTGCTAATATTGTAACCGAAATATTGTGTAATGAAGAATAATAAATCAGGGGAAGAGAAATTTAATATAGATTAGCAAAGTTTTTTTTTTTGCTTCATATTTCATATTGGAATGGGTGTGTTTCAGTAAAGAATATGTGACCCTTAAAGTTAATATCGATATTAAGCAATTTGGGATTTTTTCTTCAATCAATACCAGCTTACTCTACTACAGAGTAATAATAGTTTTGAAATACATCAAATATGAATACCGTGCTTAGTTCCTTTTTTTTCCTCTGTAAACTCGAAAAATGTGTTTGTTTGTTTTAATTTATGCACAAATCTACACAATGGGCTATCTGTGCTCTTCCCACCACGGGTATCGAACCCCGGTTTCTAGTGTTGTAAGTCCGCAGACATACCCCTGTGCTACTGGGGGGGGGGGGGCAAACTCAAAAAGTATCCTACACTTCCGTGATAACTGTCAAAGGTCTCGGTTTAAATGTCCTTGACTGGCATCATCTTTACGCCACTCGAGCAATCTATTTTTATTGCACGTTATAGAGATATATCATGAGAATTGGCCACTAAGATGTCGTTAAAGGTGGCTTGTTTTTCCTTCAGTGTTTTCAAGTTTTTGTTAATGTATCGGAACAAACCTATGGGCTCTACATTGCCTTTTATAACCCACTCTATCCCAAGTATGTCTTTAGACATGACAAAAGTTTTATAGAAACTAGGAGAATCCATTTTGTTCAGTATTCATATTAAAAATAACACAAATAACATGCTAAAAAATCAGATGATTTAAATTCACACAAAAACTGGAAAAAAAATAATAATTAATTAACGTATGGACAATCTGTTGTCTAGAGCTTAGAAATTATTTAGTATTCTAAGCAAAAGAAATAAGATTGAGAACTCAGAGCCCCATTGAACGAAAGCAAGTAGTTGATGAACAAATTCGGTTTTAATTGGGCTTTATCAGCTATGTATAGCTTCTAATTAGGGTTAACAAGTTTGTTTTAGACTTGTCATGACTTGTCTTGGGGGCCATCTTGATGTTAATTATTACATCACGTAAAAGTTAGTCTTTCGACACCTTTAAGAATAGAGTTGGAGTTGAATGTTTGCTCAATAAATACTGGTAGAGAAGTTATAAATCCGATTTTTTTTTATTATTATAGCTATTTCACACAAGCAACGAAGCCGATAGTTGGTACTGTAAACCTTTTTTACGACCCATTACCAACTTATATTCATTAAGAATTTGTGTGATGTTCCGAGTACTAAAGTCTGGTCCCCCGGTGTGACAGCGGTAAGTCTGTGGATTTACAGCGCTAAAATCCGGGGTTCGCTTCCCCGGGATGGGGACAGCACATAGCCCATTGTGATTTAGATCTGAAACAAACAAACACACACACACTGGAGTCTTTCTATAATCTTTGTTTAGTAACACGTGCCACCTTCACATACAGTATTTGTGAAGTTGAATTATTTTGGACTTTTTGTTAAAGTCGATTGTTGTTGTTTAGAATTGGATAACGACGTTACAGTCATGAAACTGAAAAGAAAACCCTGAAAGTTACACTGAATCAAATGGCGTTTTCAGCTAAAGTAGTCTATAGCTCAATCTGATGGGATTTCTTGATATCGACCTGGTGTGTCTTAGTTCGCAACAAGAATTCTCAGCTTGTTATGCTAATATTAACTTAACACGTTTCGTATCACACTTGCTTTGATCTGCTAGATTTGGAAGATTGACAGAAATATGAACACAAATGTTAACATTCGCACAGTCCTAAAGCGTTTTGAGTTGTACTTTCCAGTTCACAATAAAGAATAAATATGTTCCTCCTAATGGCAAAAATTACCAATAAGCGTTCATACGAACATATTTTCCTCATGCGAACTACAGAAAGTCAGCCAGATTCGTCTAAGGTAGCCATTATTGACTTGAAACTTCTTTTGTTACGAATGTAACGTAAGAGTATCAGAAACACAAAAATGGACCATATCTGATTTTTACATTAGGGTCTTTATGGTAAATTAACATTATGCACAATACTCTGAAATGTAAATTTTTTCACCTTACACAATAAAGAGTTTTATCACATGTGATTTCAGAGAAAAGTTTTCTTTTCAAAGACCAAATAAATACAACTACACTTATGTACGAAACATATGCCATTAACAAAACGTTTCTCGCAAAACGTTGCTAGGAAATACGTAACTCATAAGAGTTTTCAGAAACGCTAACTTTATATAAAAATGAAAGAAATGCTTGGTAACGTAATTTACCTTCCAATAGGTGTTACTCGTTTCCTTGGTGAAATTTGTTAGATTTTAGGTATGCAGTGTACATGAAAGATAATTCAATTCTTCTTTTTTTTAATTCAGAAAGCAATCAATCATCTCGGTATTCTCACGTCATTAATCACGTGTTATCAGGCTCCCTGGGATGGATATAATGTACTACGTGTTCGTAAGAAAAATTTCATTAATTAAAATAGTGCCTTTGGTGTTTTTCTTTTTTTACTATTTAATAGTAAAGACTATGTGTCAGTCTTTACCTATGTTAGAGACTCATAATTCATTTGATTGCAACACCTCAACTGTTCGATGCTAGGAATAAAATTGATCGAATCATTTGTGCATCTTGTTGTTTTTTTTCATATGATTATACGATTTAAATGGAAAACGTGTGCGTTAATGGTTTTTTTTAACATTATTAAAACTGCCTAATTTGTTAATGGTTTGTTTTTTAACATTATTAAAACTGCTTAATTTTTTAATGTTTTTTAACATTATTAAAACTGCTTTATTTTTTAATGTTTGTTTTTTAACATTATTAAAACCGCTTAATTTTTTAATGTTTTGTTTTTAACATTATTAAAACTGCTTAATTTTTTAATATTTGTTTTTTAACATTATTAAAACTGCTTAATTTTTTAATGTTTTGTTTTTAACATTATTAAAACTGCTTACTTTTTTAATGGTTTGTTTTTAACATTATTAAAACTGCTTAATTTTTTAATGGTTTGTTTTTAACATTGTTAAAACTGCTTAATTTTTTAATGTTTTTTAACATTATTAAAACTGCTTACTTTTTTAATGTTTTTTAACATTATTAAAACTGCTTACTTTTTCAATGTTTTTTAACATTATTAAAACTGCTTACTTTTTTAATGGTTTGTTTTTTAACATTATTAAAACTGCTTAAATTTTTAATGGTTTGTTTTTAACATTATTAAAACAGCTTAATTTTTTAACGTTTGTTTTTTAACATTATTAAAACTGCTTTATTTTTTAATGTTTGTTTTTTAACATTATTAAAACTGCTTAATTTTTTAATGGTTAGCGTTAGATTATTAATGCAATACATAAAAACAGTATTGAATTATGAATAAACTCTCGTTTAACCCTTTCACTTCCATTACAGTTCTTCGTTTCAAATTATTAATAATTTCAGCAGATACAACCTTTCTTATCTGTCAGAGAAGCTAATGTTTCACGAGTACAGAACTTATGGTTTAACCTATGGTTAAAACAGATTTGTTTTGAAGAACAAAATATATTTTTCTTCTATTAGGGTGTTTTGAACTAAGAAAAAGATATCCAAGCTCATCAGTTTTCAGTCTACCATATTTGAGTTCATCTTCCAACTTTACTGTCACAGCTGGAGAAACAGCTGTCTTGGACTGTCCATTCGGAGCTGCTCCAGGAGGTGAAGTCTCCTGGGAAAAGGGTAACTCTATAAAAGTGTATACTTTTTACCACTTAATTCAATAAGGCAATATTTGAAATAGAACCACTAGTGAAATACCTGTTATACCTTTAGCATTTAACAAAAGAACGTGTCAGCTTTTTTAAGCTTTCTTCAGTTCGTGTTTTGTCAGTTTAAATGGTATTTACTATAACACCGTGACATTTCTTCGTATTCTATGTATTCATAACATATAGTGATATCAAAAAGTTTGGAAAGATACATAAATTTTATTAAAGATTAATCTAGTTTTGATTCGCAGATATTTCTTAATTTTTACTGTTACGTTCAAAGTTATCTATCTCAGTGTTAAGCGTATTTATAATACGCTCTGAACTGAAAAATTCTGAGCTTATGTATAATACGCACTGAAGTGAAAAATTCTGAGCTTACGTATAATACGCACTGAAGTGAAAAATTCTGAGCTTATGTATAATACGCTCTGAACTGAAAAATTCTGAGCTTGCGTATAATACGCTCTGAACTGAAATATTCTGAGCTTATGTATAATATGCTCTGAACTGAAAAATTCTGAGCTTATGTATAATACGCTCTGAACTGAAAAATTCTGCGCTTATGTATAATACGCTCTGAAATGAAAAATTTTGCGCTTAAATTATCTATGTTGGGTTGGGATGTTCTTCTGACATTAAGTTTTGGTGTGTACATATTTCATGTTATCAATACGCTTAAAATAACTGATGTTGTTTCAATACCTCAATAAGCAACCACGGTCTCCTTTGTGACTTATGTAATACTTTCATTTCCATATCTGTCTGATCTAAGTGCCTACTGATTTATAAGTCGTTCTTATTGATAAATCTGATTAATTTTTCGTTTATTTAAGTACGCATTTGCAATTGTATCTACTCCAACTTAAGCACAATATAAAAGCATTTAAACATTGCACGTAAGATAAAGAATACAATCGTCAAGCTTTACTTTAACACCAAAAATTTTATTTAAAACTATATTCCAAAACTTTTTCAAAGTCAAATTAATTTTTTTATATTAGATATAACGTATATGGCAAATACATACCAAAATATACTATTGTCTATTATTCAATATAACTTCTCTATGAGTTTTTTTCCCCCTTTTTTCTTACAATTCAGATGTGTATCTTTATCACAAAAAAACTGTGAAGAAGTATTAAATACTGAGTAATAAAATATTCTAAAAATAGAAGCCATGTAGGTATTGCTTAAAGTTACATATTTTAAAATACTTTTATGGCATCACAATAACCATTTAAAATGACTGTATACCCTAAATGATGCATCAAATAACATATCAGTTCTCCAAAACTGTAAAATGAAATCATTCTCCTCATATTGATACGATTTGTGTATATCTTTTTTCGACCATAAAACCAAAAGTGAGAAAACATACGAAAAAGTCCATAGAATAAGCTTTTCGAAGTGGCGCGATTTGTTGTTGGATGACAGTATATTTGTTGCGTGTTTCAGATGGGCGACGACTTCCTGACAATCAGCGTCAAAGAATCTATCCTAACGGTAGTTTGATCATCTCTAACGTAAACCGAAATGAGGATGTGGGTCACTTCGAATGTTCTGGCTCAACCCAGGGTAGTCCAGTTTCGCGAAAGGTTATTACGTTAAATGTCAAAGGTGAGACTCCCTTATTTTAACTCGCTGAATGCTATGCATAATTTTCATCTATGTTAAATGTAATAATGATAAAAGTTACTGAGCAACATATAACTTCCAAAATAAGTCGATTGGTTTGCACTTTATCCAAACAAAATTATTTAAATAATTAAAATCAAAAACAACATCTCGATAAGTTTTACAGTCGCTTAATAATATTAGTTACCTTAAGAGACTTTAGTAATTCAAGTCGATGGCGCTCAGGCAGTACTGAGTAGTCTAAATTAAAGTTGAAGCGGGTTCGAATGTCGATAATCGTTCTACCAAAACTCACTTCGAGCTGATGAACTCACCGAAGCAAATTTGTCTGTACTTTATTTAATGCTTGAATAAATTCAACCGTTTTGGCTTAAAATGAATCCAGTATTTGAGGATGTATTAAGTATAACTTTGTAAAACTAGATTGATAAAGAAAAAAAAATCCTTTGAATTTTCATGCGACACCTATATTCTGCTCTACATCTTTGTTAATATAAATACACATTTTTATTCGTCTAATAGCGTTAATGAACAAGTAACAAATTCGATATACTACCACAGTGCTATTAGTTACACGATTTTATATAGTAGCTACTGACAACCTAGAGTATAAGATATTTTAGTTTTATTAAAAAGTTTGTTTGTTTGTTTTGAATTTCGTGCAAAGCTAC